CCCCCCCCCCGGTCTCCGCACAATAACATTCGAGGAACCTTTCACTAGGTGTGTCAGATTATCTGAAACCCGTACATTCACAGACATTAAGAATCCCCCAGTTATTCAATTTTTCCACCGTGGCAGTCATAAACAGCGCAGTAATCCCCATAATTATTATATTAGTTCTCTGATTTATCCTTGTCATTGTCAGTAATATATACATATCTCTCTCGAGTTGTTGAGGAACCGTGATCTCATTAATTAATTGCAATTGCTATTGCGATACCGGGGGTCAACGAGGTAAGGGCCTCACCGAATGCCAGAGATGATAGGAGTTAAGCCCACAGGATGCAACAGGTTGCGAGATTTATTTTTGATTCATCCTGTCAGCTCAGGGTCTGAATTCTCCTTTTTTCCCATCTTCAGCTCCTCGGAGAGAACAGATGGAGTGAAAAAAAATTTCATTCAGTACTTCGAGGGGTAATTGCCAGTGGTAAGGTTGAATATGGTTTGCCATACTTCGTGGAATACAAGCCACACTCTTATGAATGAAATATTCCAGTTGTAATGCGACTTGTGCACGCAATGGGGTACAACCGGTCTTCCCCGGGACTCTTTCAGAACCGCACGCGTGCTCATCATACATCCGAAAGAGTGTCTTCCATCCTGGCGATTATCGTCACGAAAATAACGTGAATAATAGTCATAAACGTGGCCAGGGGGCGGAAAAATTGTTTTTAACGTTCATTTTTGGTTTTGATTCGTGAAATGTATTGGAATTTTTTTGGGTTTTAGTAATATTTTTTATTTTTAACAGGAGATAAGGCAAATGTGCTCAGGGTTGGCTCAAATAGTATAAAATAAAAAATAAAAGGCAACAAAAAATGAGTGGACAATTGCAGTCTTTCGAATGGGTTCTCTTTTTTTAAATTCGTATTTCACTATTCTCTTCTTCTATTTTTTCGTGTCATAGTACTATCATCAATTGGAATGTCATCAAAATTTTTCGTATTATTTCTTTCTGTCAAATAATTATGTATTCACACCCTCTCAAGACTCTAATTCGTTCTCAGTCCGGGTTTAATCAAGGTTCAATCAAGGGTTAATCAGTGTACAGCCGGGATTTAATCAGGGTTTATTCAGGATTTAGCCAGAGTTTAACCCAGGTTCTGTCAGAAGTTAGTCGGGATCATATATCAATATGAATGAGTATTCAACATAATAGACTGGTACCTGAGTTTAATAGAGATAGGGATTTTTATATAAAAAGCTCATGACGGTATTGTGTAACTTGATAAGCAATGATGCTGTTCTCACCATTTTTCGACTTGATTAAGAAGCCATTGAAATATACCTTTCAAGCCCTGATTTAATTTCTATTAGTGATGATTCTTTCAGTAATCATGAAATAGTATATTTCGTAACGAGTGCAAAAAAGTGTTTTTTGGCGAGTGGGAGGTTTATATCACGAGCCGAAGGCGAGTGATATAATCCCACGAGCTGAGCGTGCCGAAAAGTTCACTTTTCGTCACAGCGTGATGAAAAAACCGATTTTCTCTTTCAAATCACATAAACCCCCATCATATTCTGATAGAATCAAGGGGGTATTGTTATCAATTTTTTGAGCCGTGACTAATTCCATTTTGATGACAATTTTTTGAGTGATCGTTAAAAAATCGATTTTTGGAAAAATGTCAATTTTTTTGAATCTGTATGAAAAATTGAATTTTAACTGGTGTCAATGAATTGAACTTATTAAAGTCTGTGTTAATGAAAAAATTAATGAAATTCGATTGATCCGTTTTAAGAAAACTTCGAGAAAGAATGAAGAAAAAGACAATTTTCCAATTTTTGGGTTGGCTCTAACACAAAAAATTGGATTGAATATCATTTCATAAAATAATGGCGTGAACATGAAAAAACATCTAAAATAATTGATAAAAAATCACCAGAGGACGAAAAAAAGCGATCTCCACCGTTACTTCCACTTTTTAATTTGTAAAATGTGAATTATGAAATGGAGAAACCGGAGTTATCGTCGTGGAGAGGGGGAGGAGGTATCCGGCGCTTGTTTTAAATAACGGGGAGGTATTAACAATGTTATACCTCCCCCAGGTCGTGTGGTATATCGTTTTAAACGAGGTAACAGCACGCAGCGGCTCCTTTTGGCATCGTAAAACGCATACGTGTATTATGCAGAGTGAGTCGACTTATGCATATACTAATTTGTGTATTTATGGGGATGAAGGGACGTTTAAAGGATAGATACATGACCTGGAGGATGATCAGTGAGTTTTGTAATGGTCTCGGGGTTTGTCGATACACGAGGAGCGATGGGATTATTTTTGATTTTCAAAGTCGGATGAAATTTTTCTGCCTCCAGAGAAATACTTCATTTCAATTGAATAAACTTTGTTTCATTCTCATAGGGAAGTCATTTGGAATTAATTAATTCATTACGTAATGTAATTAAAGTATTTTAAGTGAAGTAAATGTAGGATTTATTAATTTTCAAAGGACTTTCATCACTACACGGAGAGAAAAAACTACAGTCGAGGCTTTATATGAGATACCTTAGGGACAGTAGGAGAGTGGAATTGCGGGAATCCGTGCACCACCACTACGCGCGCTTATAGAGAGGAGAAAAATCGGGATCAGCGGTTCGAAATAAGATACCTCGCTCGTTGCGCCCGAATTCTATGGAATATTCATTTTTACTGAATGGATATTGATAACTAATCAATTTATACGAGTTTAATGTTTTGAATGCGTATGGCCCGCGTTCCCTTTTCTGTCTAAACATAACCCCGCGTGATAGAATGGCAGCTGATGTTGGGGGATTGTTGGGGGACTTGAGAGTAATCACTTCTGGACAGCTGAAGTACAAATTATTGAAAGTACGTAAATTAATTGAAGTTTAATTAGGTTTTATTCTATTAAGATAATTCTGCGTCATCATTTTAATAATTCGAGCGTCGAAGAAAAGAGGTGACCCTTGGGATCGTTTAACCCTTCTGATTACTTCATTTGACTCTCACGTTTGAACTCTTGACCCTTAAGTTCATTTGACCCTTATGATCACTTCGTTCGTCCCTCCCGTTTGACCCTCAACTCCGTTTGATCCTTATAATCACTCTTTTCCCGTTGAAAAATTATCGAGGTCATAGGTATCTTATAAGAAGCCCACGGAACTAAACATTCGGGAGGCGATAAAAGTGCCGAGAGTGTCTTATATAAAGCCTCGACTGTATTCAGTTAAAATTTTCTCAGTTTTTCAACGAGATAATGGAAATTTTATGCACGAATTGAAAATATTTTTTGAAAAATCGAATGTTCCAACTGGACTACACTATCAATTATCATTCAACCCCTCGATTTTTATTTCTTTAATTGTAATGTGCAAATGTACGAGCGGAATATGTATATGCGGGACTAATAACGTGTTTGAGGAAGGATATAATTGATGCTGATACTCGAGAAAAAGTGCACTGTCTGGGTGATGGGGGCATTTTAAAACTGAAGGGGGATGCGAGAGGTGAAAATACAGGTTGTCTTATTCTTCGCTGGTCGCCTGCGGTGCAACACGAAGATGATATATATTCGTGTGGCAACCGACTGCAGCTGTGCGATCCATGACGCCCGTCGTAAATTCACGGCTGCACCCGAATGTTTTTCGGGTTTGAAGGTCCAAGTTCAAGATATTGAAATAATATTCTGATGGGGCGAAACCGGATTTAGTGAAATTTTTATACAATTCCGGGAATTTTTTCAGTGAGAAAGTCCATAGTTGAGAGGGCAGCAGGACTTCGAAATGCGCAGAGATTAATTTTGACTGATTTTGGGAAAGAGAGAATGAGAAATTGAAATTTAGTGATGAAAAACAATAGTGAAGTGAGTGCAGTGGCAGAAGAAATTAATTTTATTCAGAGAATTTTAATTATTTTACGCAAAACAAAGCAATAAGTCGCACTTTTGATGTAGCGGAAGGGACGATAAAAAATCATCCCTTCGGGAACTGAAAAATCCTGGAGACAAGAAAAATAACAGTTCTCCCCCACCATTTCCCGTGTTGAAT